TATAAATAATAGAAGTCCTCAGGTTGTTCTTCAACATTATATATACTTGGTTAGGCCTCATTTGGATTATGCTGTGCAGTTCTGGTCACCATATTACAAAATGGATATAAATGCACTGGAAAACGTACAAAGGAGGATGACAATGATGATCCCATGTATCAGGAATCTTCCCTATGAGGATAGACTGAGGGCCCTGAATCTGTACTCTCTCGAAAGGCGCAGAATTAGGGGGGATATGATCAAAGTGTATAAATGGGAAACAGGAATAAATAAAGGGGATTTAAATAATGTGCTGAAAATTTCCCGCCAAGACAGGACTCGCAGCAATGGTTTCAAGTTGGAAAAATTCAGATTCAGGAAGGATATAGGAAAGCACTGGTTTGGTAATAGAGTTGTGAATGAGTGGAACAAACTGCCGAGTACAGTTATTGAGGCTAAAATGTTGTGTAGCTTAAAATTAGGTTAGATAAATACAATATACTCAGATCACAACATAATTGAGGTTCAGACATGCATGCGCGGAGCCCCAGACCGACATAATGAGATTAGTCACGAGGGAGCATTCACCAAATTCAACTTCAATAACAAAAACATAAAGTGGGACCAAGTAAACCAAGTCCTAACCGATATAAGCTGGGAAGATATACTAAGCAACACAGACCCCAACTTATGCCTAGAACAGATTAACTTGGTGGCACTCGATGTATGCACAAGGCTTATTCCTCTAAGAAAAAGGAGTAGATGTAAAATAGAAAGAGACAGGCGCTCCCTTTACAGGCGACAGAAAAGAATAAGAGAGCGGCTAAAAGAGGTCAATATATCTGAAATGCATAGGGAGACACTGGTCAGAGAAATAGCAAGCATCAAACTTAAGCTAAAGGAATCTTATAGGAGTCAGGAATCGTGGGAAGAACTAAAAGTCATAAATGAAATCGAAAGAAACCCAAAGTATGCCAAATCAAATTCAAGAACAACGTCCAGTATTGGGCCCCTATTTAAACAAGATGGGTCCTACACAGATGACAGCAATGAAATGAGTGAGCTACTCAAGTCCCAATATGACTCAGCTTTTAGCAAGCCGCTAACCAGACTGAGTCGAAGATCAAAATGAATTTTTTATGAGAGCCACAGAATTTGGTTAACACAAGCCTATCTGATGTTATCCTGATGCCAAATGACTTCGAACAGGCGATAAATGACATGCCCATGCACTCTGCCCCAGGGCCAGACTCATGGAACTCCGTGTTCATCAAGAACTGCAAGAAGCCCCTATCATGAGCTTTTACCATCCTATGGAGAGGGAGCATGGACACGGGGGTCGTCCCACAGTTACTAAAACAACAGACATAGCCCCACTCCACAAAGGGGGCAGTAAAGCAACAGCAAAGAACTACAGACCGACAGCACTAACATCCCATATCATAAAAATCTTTGAAAGGGTCCTAAGAAGCAATATCACCACCCATCTAGAAACCCATCAATTACACAACCCAGGGCAACATGGGTTTAGAACAGGTCGCTCCTGTCTGTCTCAACTATTGGATCACTACGACAAGGTCCTAGATGCACTAGAAGACAAAGAATGCAGATGTAATATATACAGACTTTGCAAAAGCCTTCAACAAGTATGACCATGGCGTAATAGCGCACAAAATGCGTGCTAAAGGAATAACGGGAAAAGTCGGTCGATGGATCTATAATTTCCTCACTAACAGAACACAGAGAGTAGTAGTCAACAGAGTAAAGTCCGAGGCAGTTATGGTGAAAAGCTCTGTTCCACAAGGCACAGTACTTGCTCCCATCTTGTTCCTCATCCTCATATCTGACATAGACAAGGATGTCAGCCACAGCACCGTGTCTTCCTTTGCAGATGACACCCGAATCTGCATGACAGTGTCTTCCATTGCAGACACTGCAAGGCTCCAAGCGGACATCAACCAAATCTTTCAGTGGGCTGCAGAAAACAATATGAAGTTTAACGATGAGAAATTTCAATTACTCAGATATGGCAAACACGAGGAAATTAAATCTTCATCAGAGCACAAAACAAATTCTAGCCACAAAATAGAGCGAAACACCAACGTCAAAGACCTGGGAGTGATCATGTCGGAGGATCTCACCTTCAAGGCCCATAACATTGTATCAATCGCATCTGCTAGAAAAATGACAGGATGGATAATGAGAACCTTCAAAACTAGGGATGCCAAGCCCATGATGACACTCTTCAGGTCACTTGTTCTATCTAGGCTGGAATATTGCTGCACACTAACAGCACCTTTCAAGGCAGGTGAAATTGCTGACCTAGAAAATGTACAGAGAACCTTCACAGCTCGCATAACGGAGATAAAACACCTCAATTACTGGGAGCGCTTGAGGTTCCTGAACCTGTATTCCCTGGAATGCAGGCAGGAGAAATACATGATTATATACACCTGGAAAATCCTTGAGGGACTAGTACCGAACTTGCACACGAAAATCACTCACTACGAAAGCAAAAGACTTGGCAGACGATGCAACTTCCCCCCAATGAAAAGCAGGGGTGTCACTAGCACGTTAAGAGACCATACAATAAGTGTCAGGGGCCCGAGACTGTTCAACTGCCTCCCAGCATACATAAGGGGGATTACCAACAGACTCCTGGCTGTCTTCAAGCTGGCACTGGACAAGCACCTAAAGTCGGTTGCTGACCAGACGGGCTGTGGCTCGTATGTTGGTTTGCGTGCAGCCAACAGTAACAGCCTGGTTGATCAGGCTCTGATCCACCAGGAGGCCTGGTCACAGACCGGGCCGCGGGGGCGTTGACCCCCGGAGCTCTCTCCAGGTAAACTCCAGGTAATGAGTTATAGGTAGTAGGTTGGTAGACAGCCCAGGGAGGTACTACCGTCCTGCCAAGTGAGTGTAAAATGGAGCCTGTAATTGTTTTACACGATGGTAAGATTGCTGGTGCCTTTTTTTTTGTCTCATACACATGCAAGATTTCAGGTACGTCTTGCTACTTCTACTTACACTTAGGTCACACTACACATACATGTACAAGTATATATATACACACCCCTCTGGGTTTTCTTCTATTTTCTTTCTAATTCTTGTTCTTGTTTATTTCCTCTTGCCTCCATGGGAAAGTGGAACAGAATTCTTCCTCCGTAAGCTATGCGTGTTGTAAGAGGTGGCTAAAATGCCAGGAGCAAGGGGCTAGTAACCCCTTCTCCTGTATATATTACTAAATGTAAAAGGAGAAACTTTTGGTTTTCCTTTTGGGCCACCCCGCTTCGGTGGGATACAGCCGGTGTGTTGAAAGAAAGAATTATGCAGAAAATTCGGAGTGTGGAAATTAGGAGAAGGTGTGGAGTTCATCAAAGTAGTAGTCAAGAGGGCTGAAGAGGGTTTGTTGAGGTGGTTTGGTCATTTAGAGAGAATGGATCAAAGTAGAATGACATGGAGAGCGTATAAATCTGCAAGGGAAGGAAGGCGGGGTAGGGGTCGTCCTCGAAAAGGTTGGAGGGAGGGGGTAAAGGAGATGTGGGCGAGGGGTTTGGACTTCCAGCAAGCGTGCGTGAGCGTGTTAGATAGGAGTGAATGGAGATGAATGGTATTTGGGACCTGACAAGCTGTTGGAGTGTGAGCAGGGTAATATTTAGTGAAGGGATTCAGGGAAACCGGTTATTTTATATAACAAGACTTGAATCCTGGAAATGGGAAGTACAATGCCTGCACTCTAAAGGAGGGGTTTGGGATATTGGCAGTTTGGAGGGATATATTGTGTATTTTTATACATATATACTTCTAAACTGTTGTTTTCTGGACACCTCTTCAAAAACAGTGATTAAGTGTGAGTGAGGTGAAAGTGTTGAATGATGATGAAAGTATTTTCTTTTTGAGGATTTTCTTTCTTTTTGGGTCACCCTGCCTTGGTGGGAGATGGCCGACTTGTTGAGAAAAAAAAAACATGCAAGATATCAGGTACGTCTTGCTACTTCTACTTACACTTAGGTCACACTACACATACAAGTTCAAGCATATATATATATACACACCCCTCTGGGTTTTCTTCTATTTTATTCTAGTTCTTGTTCATTTCCTCTTACCTCCATGGGGAAGTGGAACAGAATTCTTCCTCCGTAAGCCATGCATGTTGTAAGAAGAGACCAAAATGCCAGGAGCAAGGGGCTAGTAACCCTTCTCCTATATATATTACTAAATGTAAAAGGAGAAACTTTCATTTTTCCTTTTGATCCACCCCGCCTCGGTGGGATACGGCCGGTGTGTTGAAAGAAAGAAGAAATACATGAGTGGGTGTGAGTTGGACCTGACTAGCTTGTGCTACTAGGTCTGATGTGGCACTCCTTCCTTAAGTGGAAATGACCTGATTAAGTGGGTCACTGGGCTAATCGGGGAGGGGAGGGGGCATGAACCTGCTTCGCATGGGTCAGTAGGCCTGCTGCAGTGTTCCTTCTTTCTTATGTTCTTATGTACTTGGCTACAAACAAGACCTTATAAACACTCCTTGTTATGAATGTTAATATTAACTAGAGTAGGATATTTTACAAGATATGACCTTTGAGACCAAAACTGATTATTCAGGTGGTGGTAAAGAAGGCTTCGAGTTTTAATTAAAGGGTTTGAGCATCCAGCAGAATTTCTTATAAAAAGTGTGTCAATACATTTTAGATCAGAGGTTTGTTGTGCTGTTGAATACAAGCAAGGAAACATTCATAAATGGATTCAGGGAAATTGGTCAGCCAGGATTGAGTCCAAGAGTTTTCAAGTAAATTACCTGCACTCTAAAGAATAGGTGGGGATGTTGAGGTTAGAATTATCATGTGAAATGTGGTGTCTGCTTCTGGCAAGGAAGCTATCAAATAAATATTTAGTGTTTCCTCATGTGGGTCACCCTCCCTGGTGGTAAATGGTCAAAAGTGGTAATAAATGTCTGATGAATCAGACATTCAAGTATATATTATAACTAGTAACCCTAAATTTGCTCTACCAAAATTTCATACCTTCAAATAAGGAGGAGTCCATTAGCTCTTCAAGAGTGCCCAGCTGTTCTGGATTGGTGACCATGTTAAGAAGTGGTTCACCAAGTATCTCTCGAGCTTCCTCACTTTCAAGGACACTCTCAAGGCGCCGGAAAGCATCAGCATCTAAGGGTAGTTCTGCGTAGCTCCCACCACCTCCAACCTGCCCTGTAAGATAAAAATAAAAAATCATTGCAATGAAGTACAATAAACCCTTATATTACACAGTAGTTATATTCCTGAAAATGCTGTGTTAAACTAAGAACTTGTAGGAAAAATAGGGTTACATTCCTGGAAGCCCAAAAAAGCCAATATTTTTTGAGACCTCCAGATCTTACAAAAATAAAACTATATAATTATTGTTTATTATCATGATGTATTATGCTGTTTTTACTGCTTAAGACTTTACAAATGCAACAGAAATAATAGTAATTCTTACCTTAAATTGTGGGTGCTGGTGTTTGTTGAGGATTGTGAAGAGAGTGGAAAGTTATGCTGTGGCCCTACTGGGCTCAGGTAGATGGTAAAGGTTCTGGTACTGAAATCGATGGTTACCTTTGATATACCTTTGAAGAATTTTGAGAGTATATCTACTCTCTGAGCCCGGCCATGGGCCAGGCTTGTCTAGTGCTCGCCTGGTCTACCAGGCTGTTGCTGCTGGAGGCCCGCTGCCCCACACATCCATCACAGCCTGGTTGATCTGGCAGATGGTGAAGATACTTGTCTAGTTTCCTCTTGAAGGCTTCAACACTTGTTCCAGCAGTGTTGTACTGGAGCTTGTATAAATTCAGCAATGGATTTCTGGGCAATTTTACCCTGCAGTACATTATACAGTTGACAGTAAGGCGATGGAAATAAATGGTGTAAAATACCGACACAATGGAAATATAAACACACATGCAGTATAATTTGATCCTTTATTGACAACGTTTTGCCCACACAGTGGGCTTTATCAAGTCACAAACAGATTTAACTGGGCAAAACATACATGAGTATTTATAAGATGAGAATGCTGGGTCAGGTGGTGAAAGCTGCAAATGACAATCTTCCAAGTAGAGTGAGAGTCTAAAAACTTGGGTAGCTTTTAACCCTTTGAGGGTTTTCGTCGTACTAGTACGTCTTACGCGTAGGGGTTTTTGACGTACTAGTACTCATAAATTCTAGCGACCTCAAATCTAGTGGGAGAAAGCTGGTAGGCCTTCATATGAAAGAATGGGTCTATGTGGTCAGTGTGCACAGTCTAAAAAAAATCCTGCAGCAAACGGTGCATAATGAGAAAAAAAAAACTTTTTCCATTTTTTTTTAATAAATCAGCGACTTTGCAGTGTATTTTCGTATGGTATTTATTGTTGTATTCTAGTTTTCTTGGTCTCATTTTATAGAATGGAAGACATATTACTGAAATTGAGATGATTTTGACTGGTTTTACAATGAAAGGTGCCTTGAAATTGAGCTCAAAGTAGCAGAAATGTTCGATTTTTACCAAACTTCAAAAGTAAACAAATCGTGCCAAGCGTGCAATACACGTCAACTGGTGAGTCTAATATTCTTTCACAAGTGCACCAATAATATTTATACCATTTTTTACACTAATGCAGTAGTCTGCATAACAGTAAATCTTATATTTTTTGTGAGAATAAAAATTCAAAGTGGAAAGCAAAAGAATATAAGAGGGGCCTTGAGACGTGACTAATGACTAGAGGAAATGTCATTTTAGTGCCAGGAATGTCTTTCTTGTTTATTCTGGACCCTATTCCGAAATTGGCATCTTTTGAAATTTGTGTGAAATTGGCAAAATTGCTAAATTCTGACCACTGTACTGGATAGTTGAATTTATAAATGGGTGGTTTCTTGCACCCATTCGATAGAAAAAATGGAGATCTAGCGAAATATTCATGTTTTTTGTCGACTAGTACAGTGAAATTGGCCGAAAATGGGGCTCAAAGTGGGCAAAATCGCCGATTCGTAAACATCGCCGAGACCGCTAACTTTGCGAGAGCATAATTCCGTAAGTTTTCTATCAAATTTCAAACTTTTGGTGTCGTTATGATCGGGAAAAGATTCTCTATCTTTTCAAAAGAGAAAATAATTTTTTTTTTTTTTAAATTTGGCCGACCCTGAGAACGAGTTTCGGAGAGGGCCTGTCGACCCTCAAAGGGTTAAAAGAGATTGGATAAGTATATGAGTAGACCTTTTGCAGTGTTCCTCGATTCTTATGTTCTTATGTGGGATAGCAATGAAGAAGTTTCTTGGCAAGAGATTCAGCTATGTTATAGAAGCAGTTGTTCTGGTTGAAGTTGTTGTATGTACAGATAATTGACAATTCCAGGATATTTCGGTATTGAGTGTTGTCTTCTCTGGCGATAAGTTTTGCGTTTCTGTAGTTGATTAAATGGTTGTGTGAATTTCGGTGTTGAACACAGGCATTCCTTGGATTGTCAGATCTGCCTGCGTACTGGTGTTCTGAAATACGTGTTTGGAGGTCTCTGGATGTTTTGCCGACGTATAATTTGCTGCAGTCATTACAAGGGATTGTGTATACCCCTGCAGAGGATTGAGGCTTGTCCTGTCTATTACTGGTAATAGACAGGACAAAGCTACCCAAGTTTTTAGACTCTATCACTCTACTCAGAAGATTGTCACATGCAGTTTTATCCACCTGACCCAGCATTCTCATCCTATAAACACTCATGTATGTTTCACCCAGGTAGATCTGTTTGTGACTTGATAGAGCCCACTGCGTGGGCAAAACGCTGTCAATAAAGGATCACATTATACTGCATATTTGTTTATATTTCCATTGACAGTAAGGCATCAGCTGCTCTAGACACCGTTTCAGAGCACTGCTTCTAAATTTATCAGGGTCCTCTTCAGTGAAAAAGTCTAACTTTAAGTCAGTAAATCAGTAAAGCCAGTAAGTCAAGTCAATCACTAAGTCAGTCAGTAAGTCAGTCAAGTTTGTCAGTCAAGTAAGTCTCTGTCAGTAAGTCAGTCAAGTCAGTCAGTCTTTTAAGTAAATCAGTTAGTTATTCACACAAACTCATACATTTACCTCATTCTTTTTAATTGTACAAACTGACACTTCATTCAGACCACAAGCTCTTGCTATATCCACCACATCTGAGCCATTCTTAAAGTTTGTCTAATACAGTGGACCCCCGTTTAACGATCACCTCCCAATGCGACCAATTATTTAAGTGTATTTATGTAAGTGCGTTTGTACGTGTATGTTTGGGGGTCTGAAATGGACTAATCTACTTCACAATATTCCTTATGGGAACAAATTCGGTCAGTACTGGCACTTGAACATACTTCTGGAATGAAAAAATATTGTTAACCGGGGGTCCACTGTATCTTGATTTTTCTTTGTAACTCCAATGCTTAACCCATATCTTGCCACTTTCAGCAACACTTGTATGCCCATTGGGTGCCATGACTGTTTGGCAGAAACAAGATATGGCAATTAAAAGATCAAAATACAGCCCACAAACACAGCTAGCTCCTAGGAGAGAATGGTCCTACACACACAGGAACTGAAGGCTGGGAAAAGGGTAGCAGGGGATGGAGGCAGGTCTTCCCCATTGACTCAACAGTCTAACCCACAGCCAAGTGGCGGTCCAAGTTGGGGAAATATCCCGCAGGTGATGCTCCAAATTTTTTCCCCTCCACAGACCGAACCATGTTAAGTTAATTTTACGAAGTACAGCTTCTCCTCACCTAACAACGGAGTTAGGCGCCTAAGACCCCGTCGGTAAACAAATTTGTCGCAAATCAAGGAATCACCCCTAACTGCCACTTAAAGTGTCACCACCCAAAATTAAAACATTCAATTTAATGTTTGTTGGGAAATTCCTTTCAATCTGTTTATTATTAATGGTAATACAACATAAAATAGGTCAATGACTTACTGCTGAGATATTCCAGGAAACGCGTGCATAGCTGATTACTTGGGAAATTTTTTTCAAGAAAATATATGTATTTGCACACTTACTGAGGTTTTAATACTGGGTGCTGCATCCTTGACACTTAATCATGTCCCTCCCCCATGTAGGAAGACTCTCACACAAATTCTTGAGGGTTTGGGAAGGTATATTATTCCATGCCTCATGTAGAGCAGCCTCCAGCCGCGGGATGCAACTGATATCCTTGCCCAGTAAACTTCGTTTCACTATTGCCCAGAGGTTCTCAATAGAGTTTAGGTCAGGGGAATTGCCTGGCCAGTCATTAAAGAACCTCACTTCACAGTCCTTAAGCAACTGAACTACAGATTTGGTAGTATGACACAGTGCACCATCATGCATAAAAACCATAGCCCCACACTTGTCAAACGCCTCAGATAAATTGTCACACAATAACTCCAGGTAATTATACTGGTTCATATACTGGTTTTTGGGAAGCACATTGAGTTCATAAACACTCTGAGCACTGAAACACTCCCAAACCATGAGCGAGTCTGGGTGTTTGGTGGTCCCACAGGTGTAGCGTGGGTCTAGTGGGTCACTACCTCTGGGCCAGTACACGTCCCCCATGGTTACAGGTGACGGTGAAGGTTGCTTCATCACTCTAAAGTACTTCAGACCACTGTTGAGGATTCCAGTGAAGATATTTGTTTGCATAATCCAGCCTACGTTTCTTCTGTGGCTTGGAGAGGATCGGTTTCTTAACCTGGCAGTGACTACTGTAGCCTAGTTCTGACACATCTGTTAACAGTTCTTACAGACACCTCTGAGAAAAGATGTGGGTTCTTTTCTTTCAATTCTCTAGCAGTTATCTTAGGTGTACTCTCTAACTGCTTCTTTAACACATTTATGGTACAAACAGGTGTCTTCTTTGAGGGGTCAGGCCGAGGTTTGGCAGACGGTAACTCGACACTGCCACCAGTCTGGAAATGCTGCACCCATTTCCTCATTGAACACTCACACACACCAACATTCTCCACTATTTCTTTCATCTGTTGCCCAGCTTTGTGAAGCCCTATGATTTGAGCTATAGTTTCAGGTGTTAATGACTTCCTTTTACCCATAATCAAACACATATAGCCCCAAAACCAAAGGGAACACTGGACAAAAGATGGGGCAGATGAGAGACAAAAGTGAAACACTTCCTCTCACCACAGAAGCCACATGAACATTGAGGAGTCGCTGTGGAGTGTGGCGGCAGGCTGTGAC